TTGGATACATTACGTGGATATTAAGATCAAAAAGACAAATCATCCTTTAAATTCCCGGGGTAAAATCTGCTGCGAAGGAGAATCCAGTTGACATCTTTTCTCAGTAAGATGCCCATGCACAAAGTTAAAGAAGCTAATGATAATGGTTTAGCATTTTTACATTGTGAGCTTTTAATCTACGATTTTCTATTTAGTTCCAACTATCATAATGTCAAAAAAGTGTAAAGTCTAAAAGACATTATAAAGCATTCAAAACCAAAGAAGGTTCCACCACTAAAAGATCAGCTTTAATGAGAGCACTGTAAATTTGCCAGGATACAAGAATCCTTTTGCAGCAAACACATTAGCAAGCATATTAAAGTCAAGAGGACACTGTGTGCTTTGAGATGGCATAAGAAAAAAGAATGGGTAATTGGCTGGAGGTTTACTGTACAAAGGATGCAAAATGAATGGGCTACATTTTAGATACTATTAGAGAACCAGGTAGGATTGGTGATGGTCACAAGGAAAACAACAATTTGCTGAATTGTAACAATCGATATATATACTGTATTGTAGAGAAAAAGCAGAAATACAGGTCATAATGAGTTAAGGATAACCAAAACCCTCTAATAGCACTTTCATATTAAAAGAAATAAACTTGATCTACTCAATAAATAGCAGAAAAGGAGGGGAAAGAAAAACAGAAGAACATTAAGTAGAAAGAATTAAGTTGCCAGTCTGAGGCTAGCATGGGATACATAGTGAGTATCAGGCCTACATAGCAAGACTCTGACTCAAAATAAATATAAATGATTAGATAGATAAATAAATTAATATATAAATAAATAAATCAGAAAATAGTAAATAGCAAAGACAATTTAGGTGCTCCCATAGATGGGAAACTTGTCAATAAAGAATAACAATCTGAAAACAGTAACAAAAGCAAAAAGAACAACAAAATAAAAATCAGGTTTTGAAAGGACTAAGATAGAACTGATTAATATAAAAGAGAATCATTAATTAGTAATAAAAAGAGAGATCTGTAAGTTCAAGGCCAGACTGATCTACAGAGTTTAAGTACAGGCTCAAAATCTATACAGAGAAACCCAAGAGGGAAAAAAGGCTTCTTTTCATGAAAGACTTAAATTTACAAGAAAATGCCAATTTTTTTGTTTTTTGTTTGTTCGTTTGGGTGTTTTTGAGACAGGGTTTCTCTGAGTAACTCTGGCTGTCCTGGAACTCACTCTGTAGAAAAGGTTGTTCTTGAATTTACAGACATCCACCTGCCTCTGTCTCCTGAGTGCTGGGATTAAAGCCACGTACCACCACTGCCTGGCTAAGAAAATACTAAAATTTTAAAGAAACAGCTAATCCTGAACTTACAAAATTAATTCTAAAAATAGGAAAATACTTGTTGTATTATGGTTTGGATCCAAAACAATCCCACGGGCTTATGTGTTTTGTTAGTTTGCCTTATTTTTTAAGATAGTTTTTATGTGGATGTCTGCCTAAATGTATGCCTGCATATCACATGCATGCATGGCACCCATATGGGCCAGAAGAAGGTATTGAGTCCCTGGGAACTGGAGTTACACAGTTCTGAGCTGTTGTATGAGTGCTGGGAATCAAATCCAGGACCTCTGGAAGAGTAGCCATTGACTTTAACTACTGAGCCATCTCTCCAGCCCTGGGCTTATGTGCTTGAGCATCTGGTCCCAGCTGGTAGTGCTATCATTCTTTCTTGACCTTGGAATGGGAAGGACTTCTTCCTAAACAAGAACCAGAAAAGCACAAAGCATATGGAAAACAACATCATAGACTTTGTGACATAATAATTAAATATGAGTACACTTTTTGTTCCATCCATCTGATCTAGAGAACTCCTCACGGTTCCCTAGGACAGTCTTGCAATACTCTACCATCACCATGTTGTTTGTGGGAGCAAGAAGTTGGCACCAACTTTAATGCCTGCTTCTAGAGAAACAGGTGACAGACACACACCGTAGAATATGATCTGTCAGATAAAGGTCTAGATGTACCAAGATGTACACTCAAAGGTGTGGGATAGAACCATAGAGTATTTCAGGACACAAAGGAATAGCAGAATTGAAGGAATACTACCACACTGTGTACAGAAATGCCAGAGACACTTGTCCACAGTCAACGCTGTATATTTTACATCCACATCCAATGCCTTCTCTCGAAAGTATAGAAGTAGCTCCTGTGAATGTTAAGATGGAAGTTAGGAATTGGAAGAAGAAAAATAAATGAAATAACATATTTTTAAGGAGTAATGCTGATAGTAAATTAAGAATTAAAGAATGGATAAACTCAGCTTTCCATACCTAAATATAAAAAGAAAGAGAAAGCCTGGCAGTGGTGGTTCATGCCTTTAATTCCAGAACTCAGGAGGCAGAGACAAGTGGATGGATCTCTGTGAGTTTGAGACCAGCCAGGCCTACTCAGTTAGTTCCAGGACAGCCAGAGCTGCTACACAGAAAGACCCTGTCTTGGGAAAAAAAGAAAATAAAGAAGGAAGAGAGGGAGGGAAGGAGGGAAGAAAGGAAGGAAGGAAGAAAAGAAGAGAGAGAAAGAGAGAGGAGAAAAGAAAGTTTCCCATTGTGATCACTAGAGATTGGAATAATGAGTTGGAAAATATATCACCTTTCACCTGGACCATCATGCAGGACAGACTGTGAAGCTATAGGACAGCTCTAGAAATCCAGTCTTCTTTCTTGCACTTGGCTAGAATTGCTCTCCTCAAACCCCCAGCCATTGGTCTGAGTTCTGTGATTAGACATTGTACACATAGAGCCACACCTTCACAGAGCAGCACTTCAAACACATGTGATGGCTATTAATATTATATTAGAATCATAATTATCTAATTTAAATATAATTATATTAATAATACTAATAATGGGCATTACTCTTCCAGTGATACATGCTCAAAGTTTTCATTTGTTCATCCTATGGCCTGTTCAACATCTCTCAAAAATATCAGGGATTCACATTTTGAGGTCAACATCAGGTGTGAAGCATGGCTTTAGTTGTCTGGAAAGTATGCCAAAAGTCAGTGGGATCAAGCATCACTCAAACTCTCCACATTGGAAAAGAAGAGGAGATTGCTTCTAGGAAGTGGCATATGGCTGTAATCCTAGCAGTTGGGATCTGAGGCTGGAGGATTTCCAAGAGTTCAAATTCCAATTGGACTACAGAGTAATGTATAAAGCTCTGTCAAATCTTGGCTATCTAAAATGAGTTAACATATCTGTAAGCCCTATCCATTCATGTGTGTGTGTGTGTGTGTGTGTGTGTATACATTCATATATATTCATATATTTTTTTCATAGAATATATCTCCTAGCCAAGGATTACTGCAGACTCTAGGGATTGAAGCATGCTTGTTGGTACCACGGAATGAAAGACCAGGAACTGAATCTTAGGGAGCAGGCTTGCTTCTTGTGTCTTTTACTGAAGATACCTGCAGAATTTCTCTCCTCAGCTCTTTGAACATGGCTGAAGTTTTGCTGCCTCTCTACTTGATAGTAGTGAAGGGATTCCTGAGACCCAATTCACCGTTATGCACATTTGGGGACTCTAGTGACAAAATTAGTTGTGTTATCTGGAAGTCTGGAGTTCTTCTCTTCAAAATGAACCACTACAGTTTGAAAATGAAAGGCACAGAACGCGTCCACTCTGCACAACTGGGTTGCTTATTTATCATTTTTGAGAAGGGGTCTTGCTGTGTGTCGGGTTCCAAAGGAACCCCCGGGGGAAGTCTCACTCAGTAGCTGCGATGTCTCCCAGCACTTCTTATCCTGCCTCCTTCCCTAAACCTCTCTAGCCCGGAAGCGGGGGCGTCCTCTCTCCCAGCTTCTCTTTCCTGTGCAAACTCAACCTTGTGGCTACAGGCTCTCTCGGTTCCTGGTTCTTCCTCGTTCTCTTAGTTCTCATGTGCTCTCTGTTTCTCTCTCTTCTCTTCCCCATTTGCGCCTCACTCCTCCATGGCCCATTCAGTCTGCTGACCCAGTTCAGCCTGGACCCTTCCAGGTGACTCTGGCTGTTCTCTCCCTCATATCTACAATAGAACCTTCTCCTTGACCATTACCCTTGGAGCAACCATGTCCTTGTTTTCATTCACTGTGCAGCCCAGGCTGACCTCAAATTCTCAATCCCCCTAAGTGGTTGGGGTTTCAGATGTATATCACCACACTTGGCTTCTAACCAGGCCTTAAATAACTCCCTCCCTCCCTCCCTTCCTCCCTCCCTCCCTCCCTCTCTGTCTCCCTGTCTCCCTTCCTTTTTCTTTTCTATATGCTGGTGATTGAACCAAGGCCTTGTACATGCTAAGCAAGTATTCTACCATCGAGATACATGTCCAGCATTTTGAACTAGCAGAAAAACTCAAGAGGCCTTAAAGTCAGCTCATCCAACCCTTCAGAAAAATGCTTGCAGTCCATAACTCTTATGTTCAGGGAGGGCATGCTCTGATGGCACTTAGAACACAGGCAGGAAGAGAACCACCCATGAGAGAACATCTTTAAAATAGCCACACGTTGGTACACATGCACGATGGAATTAGAACAATGAAGTTACAGCATTCACACAAAACAACTTGACAGACCCGAAGATCATTATGTTAGGTGAAATTCATCAGATTCAGAAGGACAAACCACATGTTTCTCATATGTGAAATTCAGATTTAAATGTATATGTATAAATGTATATGAGGACATGAAAATTCAGAAACCGGACTCTGAGACAGGAGGAAGAGGTCTTAAGTGGAAGGAAGGCAATGAAATAGAGGCAGGAAGGGGTCTCTTTGGGGACGGGAGGGCCACAGCAAGGAGCAAAGGATGGAGCAGTACAGTAGGGTGAAGAAAGAAGAACGTATTGGCCATGGTGATCACGTGTGTGCCTGTAGTCCCAGCGCGTAGGAGGCTGAGGCATGAAGTTTGAGGATAACAGGCTATACTGAGATTCTGTCTCAAAAAAACCAGCAACAAACAAAAACCCCAAAGTATGATGATTTATAGATATCAAAAGGTCAGAATAAAACCCATTTCTCTGTATGCTAATAAAGTAACAAAAAATAAATACTTTTATCACATTTATCAGAAGGCAGAACTGACAAAGTGATTGCCGCATATACAGAATTGGGGAAAATCAGGAAAAGCCATGGCCGGATGAAAGTCTGGCAGGAAGTCAACCTTAGAAGAGATGGGACTAGCTCAAACTGAAGGGAAAGAGAACATGGGTGGAGCACAGCCCTCCTCAGGACTAAGAGGACATGGGTGGAGCACAGCCCTCCTCAGGACTAAGAGGACATGGGTGGAGCACAGCCCTCCTCAGGACTAAGAGGACATGTTTGCTTCTTCAGCCTCCTTAGACCTTGATTCCTCTGCTCAGACGCCAACTCCACCTGGGACAAGCAGGCTCAACAGAGGATCCAGGTTAGTGTGTATGAACCACTCAACCACGCCAGAGAGGGTGCTTTGTCCAAAGTCACAGAACACGGGTCTGCGACTCTGAAGTCACTACAGAATATTGTTTCCTCTCTGGGAGCTGCCCTTCCCTTTGTCCTGTTAGATATTGTCAGCCAGGATGCAGTGGCAATGCCTGGATTCCAGCTGTCCAATTCCAAGATAGGAGAGTAACAGGTGACGGTGTCTTTGCAGCTTCTTGTGAGTGTGCCAGGAGGCGCGTGTGTGGGGAGGGACTTCTCCAAGGCTTCAGTAGAGAAGATCCAACTACCAGGTCAGGAGGGTCTCAGAGGCCCTCTAGAATTTGGCATTTTAGATCGACTCTTGCAGAGGTGGTGGCAGCTGAGAGCTCTGCCATTTTGGCTCTTCTTAGCTTATTTTGTCCTATGTCCTTGTCTTCAAGGCAAGATAGCCACATAGTCCTCGTTAGAGTTCTCTGGGGAAAAACAAAGGACAGCCATGAGATGCCACACCCAGAAGTCCCACCAGCCAGCCCAACTCGAGGAAAAGGACACCAGGAACAAAGCAGTGCTGATGCCCCATCAAAGAGACATCTTCAAAGGCTGCAGTGGCACTAGGGACTTGCTTGGCCAAATGGGGCTTGTTTGGGTTTTTTGTTTATTTGTTTTTGATTTTTGATAAGTGGAGCTTTAGTTTCTAGTACTCAATGTCTGCCTTCACCAGTGGAAATCCCATGCCTTCGTCAGAGTAGCTCTGCATGGAGCTCGTTCTGAGGAGGCAAGAGGAAGGGGAGGGAGAATTCAGGCAATGGGAAGGCATTTCCCCTTTGGTAGCTCAGTACCTGGAGCACACTCTACCAGGTCCGACCATGCTTGGAAAGTTGGTGTGATCAGACCCATGTCCAGTTCTTGGGAAAGACTTTTCCCAAGCCCGTTCTCTTCCAGGATTTGGCAACCTTTTATTACACCTTAGACAACAGTATTACCATCCCAGCCACCCCCAGAAACTCATCTTGATTTGCACAAGCATCTGGCTTTGATACCTTTATGCTTTCTTCCCCTTAACACTTTTGGATATAAGTGCGTGTGCATGTATGCAGGTGTGTGTGTGCAGGTGTGTGTACACAGGGGTGCCCGCATGTGTGGACCGAGGTTAGCCTTACATCTTGTTCTTCAGGTTCCAGCTATTTTATTCTTTGAAACAGGCTCTCCCTCTGGTTTGGAGCTCACCAGGTGTGAAGCTTGGGGAGCCCCATGGATCTACTTGTGTCTGCCTCTTCAGCATTGAGATTACAAGCATGTGCCACCATTAACACATTTTCAAAGCCATCATTTCTAGGGATCCAACTCACGGCCTCACACAAGCAAGGCAAGCACTTTACCAACTGGTCTGTTTCTCGAGCCCTTTTATACTTCCTAATTCTGTAAGTTTTGATGGAAAAGAGCAGTGCGGCTATATCTGTGGCTGAACCTATAGGAAATGATCAGATTGTATTGGCCACGCAATCCCCTGAATGATGATGAATGGATGGAAGCAATGGGAGGGGGCAGGTTTTATTTTAGTCATTAAAATCTCACGCTTCATCTTTTTAGAGAAATGAGAAGCTTTCCATGGCAGCCTATAAAGGGACTTTGCTCGGGCAGAATAGCATGGATGGGGGATGCTGGCAGGCTCCCCGAGAGCTCGTGCCCTCTCATCTTTCTCCCTAGTTAAGCAGATCTGCTGTCATCACCATTGCCACCCACAGACAACTGCAATCCCTCTCACACAGAAAGAAACCACACATTTCATCATGAGAGACTGGGTGGGACCAGAAACGTCTCTGCATGGCTGTGTTTAATTCAAAATCCAGCACGATGGGCAGATGATGAAGGTGAGGGTAAGCTGGAAATATGATCTGAGAGTGCTGTGAATGGACTTTCCTCACAGGTGCTGACCGCCCCCAGGCATCTCAGTGGCTTCATACCTTTGGGGACATATATGAAATAATTTGTCCCTGATCATTTTATAAACGAATGCTTAGCAAAGATTGAACAAAATGTAATAGGTTAAGCCTTGGTGGGTGATTTGACATGATGTTTTCAGTGAAAACCTGCCCATATGTGCATTTATTACCATGGTGGACTGCACATGGCCACAGAATGAATTCCAAGTCAGCTTTTTGGTCAGGACCTTTCCTCTCCTTCCTGGTTGTCCTAGCACAGACAGCTCTATGTCTTGGCTACTTTCAGGGGCTAGAAGATGCAGTTTCTCAGTACAGCAGAAATTGCACTTCGCAGGATGAAGCTCTTTAATGTCCTAGAGCAAGACATCAACTTCCATCAACTCTGCAGAGCAGAGCACTGATGGATGTGGGCTTCGGGTCCCTCCTGACCCTTTGTCAGGGCTCTTACCATAAATGTTCATCTCTAACCTCATTCTTCTCCCTCTTGGGCAGAAGCTGTTTCTCATTATTGGGTTTGAAAGGTGAATCACCAGACCTTGCCCTGGCTTTTCATACTTGGAGATTAATTCTTCTAGGTTCGGAAAGATCTGTTTTGGAGCACCTTCCACAGTCTGCAAAGACATAAGAAAGGTCACTGTGCAGCTGTGGGTAAAACGTGACACTTCTTGCAACAGTGGTTTTTGAGGGCTGCTTGTGAGAGTTGACAAGTGAAGAGTAAGAGGCTAGCAGCTCAGGCCCAGGGCTCTCATCAACTGCATTTCATGGAAGTTCCTCATTCTGAAGAGGAACCTCGGGCCCAAGAGATTCTGGATAAAGGGGACTTCTACTTAAAACTTCCCCAGTCACTGTGGTGAGTGAGCCCATCCTTGGCAAATTGTCTGGGCTGGTTCTATTGTAACCCCACTGTAGTTCCCTGTCCAACTGTGTCATGCTGCTGGCCTTTGCTGAGTTGGGGACTCCTGAGAGAAAATGCAAAATAATTGATGTATTAGGTGCCTGGGGATTCTCCACATGGCGCAGATTAAAAAAAAATCAAGTCCCAGTTTGTACTGAGAGTAAGATGTCAACATAACTTAGTGAAATCACAGACTTGTTTTCTGGTTAGCAACTAGAAAGAAAGGAAAAAAATCCTCCTTTCTGATAGGATATTACAGAAGGACTTTAAAAACCCAAAGCATTTTCTTCCCCTGCTCCTTTGTATGTGGTTTTCTTGATCATCCTATCTAGCTGGCATCGCCAACAGATATGGCTGGAATGAGGTTTTCTGAAGTACATACTTAACCTCCATAGTAGAGACGTGGGCGCTTTGGTGTGCATTCCTTTAATGGGGTCACTTCAGCTGCAAGTGTCACCTGCTGCAGGCCCGTGAATGTAAAGCCTTCCCTTGGCCAAATGCTTCTCTATATCTGAGGTGTGGGCCGTATGGAGGGCTACCCATTTGGTTTAGGAAAATGAACAAAAGAGACAAAACAGGTTCTGAGGGAATATCCAGAATTCTCCAGTGTCCAAGAAAAAAGGAAAAATGGATTTCAAAATGGTCTGCTCTATAGGAGGCATTTTATTTTGAGGTAATTTCAGACAGACACAGACAAATTGGAAAAATAGTAAAAGTAAAATTCCCATAAATTCTCCATTTAGGTTTTATATAATAGTTATTTTTTGTTTGCTTTTTTCGTCTCTCTAAAATATGAGCTTGCATATATGTATATATACATATGTGTAGACATGTATTTTGTTCTAGTTCTGAAACAAGGTTTCATGTAGCTCAAGCTGGTCTCAGGTGCACTACAGAGCTGAGGATAAGCTTGAACTTCTAAACCTCCTGCTTCTATCTCCTAAGTGCTAGGATTATAAGCATGAGTCACCACAGCCAGTTTACATATGTTAATTCTTTTTAACGAATTTGTTTTCGGGGCTGACCATTTGGTGTTCAATAACCAGATTGGTGTGATTTTTTCCCTTCGGAAGATCATGTTTCCCACAGTCAGCATCCTTTAGTTGCCCATATCTCTGTATGTATGCTTGCGGCCGGCCTCATGAGCTTTTCTCCATCCACATTAGCATGTCTATTGGTGTCATCCATGTTCAAGTCATGTTTAGGTGGCCGTGTTAGTGAAACAATATGGATGCAAGTAGCAGTATGCAGTCTGAGTAGGTTATACTTATGTATCTAGGGGTGTGTGTGTGAATACAATGTAAAAAGAGGCCATGAATTGAAAGAGAACAAGGGGAAGGGTATATAAGAGGGTCTGGAGGGAGGAAAGAGCAGGGATCATGATACAATTTTATTATAATCTCATGCTATCTCTTTAACCGATTCTAAGTGCTTCAGCAGTCCAAAAGGCAGACATTGCACAGCCAGATTATAATGACTAAAATGGGAAAATTAACTTTCATGAATAACTAGTTACTAATCTTGTTTGAATTTTGAAACTAATTCAAATTTTACCGATTGCCTCAAGGATGTCCTCTATGGCAAAAGAAAAATTAGATGCTTAAGTATTTTAGGGATCGTTGTATGTTCTAATCTCTTTCAGATATTCACAGTTACGTGAGCATATTGAAGATGTTTCTCAGAGCATATTTTAGGATCTTATGTTGGTAATTAAAAATTCCATTACACTTGTTGTACTTTCTTCTTAAAGCTTATAACTAAAATCAAAAGAAGCAAAGAGATTCCCCTGTTGAGTTCATGGGGAACCAGAAAAGCTAAAGGAGTTCCTAAAATTTCCAGCTATTTAATGACCCCTGTCCTGTTTTCAGGCAGCTGTGGATGTGCTTGGCTTTGGAACATTTGAGCTTCTGTCCACCCACCCTTCCTGCACCTGTCCTGGGATATGGTTTAGTTTTACAACAGTTTTCAGTGGAGTCCAGGTCCACATGGTTGACCTTGATGGCAGTAGGCTTGGCTGCCTCCACAGTCTGGAGCAACAGCCAGGGTTATGAAAACATGGGACTCAACTCAGCACTGGCCTGTTTCTCTCAGAGTGAGGTAAAGCTCTCTGCTTATCGAACTTGGTGTGGCATTCCTGTTTTTAATGGCCTCCATGTGCTCACATCAAAGATTCAAGCCACGACCCCAGCTTTTCCCTATTCCTACACTGTTGTGGCAGTCCTTATGTAGTCTTACCTGTATCTTGTAATATCCATGTTTCTCTCTGAAGATTCGGTAGGTGTAAACAAACTTTTTAAACCTACGGAAAGATGACTCTGTGAATCGTAGTGTTCATATACACAAACTCCATGATGGCTGTCTTTATAGTTTAGACACAATGTGTTATCCAGTCTTACATCCCAAGAAGAAACTGACCATTCCCATACTCTCTCATCTGAATTTAAAAGAAAGAAGGGTTTAGAAACACAGAGCCTCTTAGAGATAATGGAGTGTGGACTCTAGCAAAGAGGATGAGGGGAAATAACCGGAGGTCCTTGCTTACGACTTGACCTGTGTCAGAAAGTGCAACTATTTCATAATCAGGATCTCACACAACCTGTTCTTCGATCATTTCTCATCTCTCACTGGCTGGGTGATTCCATAATTCCTCAACCCATGGACTTTCGAATCCATCGATTTCTCCTCTCTTCACTGTTTTCGCCTACATGTCTTCAACTCCTTCTTTGATTGCCCTGGTTAGTTTTTTGTTACCTTGACAGAAACTAGGGTCTTCCAAAAAGAAGAAACCTCCACTGAGAAATTGCTTTTATCAGATTGGTCTGTATGAAAGTCTGTGGGGCCCTTTCTTGATTAACTATCAATGTAGGAGGGCAAGACCCACTATGAGCTGTGCCACCTCTGGGCAGGTCCTATTAAGGATAAAAAAGGTAGCTGAAGTTGGTTTAAAAACACAAAGGAGAAACATTATTATTTCTTTTTTGATGAAAAAAGAAATTCCATTTATTTAGTCATCCATCTTGGTACTTGACTTGTTTGCCTCTGATGCTAGTCTCTGGAAGATAAGTTCCCAGGAACCCTGATTCAGTGTCCCCCACCTCAAATGTACATCATCAGTGACCATCTACTTGTTATGGTGTGATTAACTGCCGTTTTGGCTTCTATAACCTGCTTGTGTAGATACTGAAAGTCTTCTTGTGGTTTCACCTTTAAAAGCCTCCCTTAACTCCCCTTCTCATGGTAGTCTCAAGTTTGGTTCAGAGATCGTTGTCCTGCTAGAAATTTTCAAAAATTGAACTAACTAATCATAATCCAGATTGAGTCTATGGTTTTTTTTCCCCCCCGAAGTCTCAAACTCCATAGTGCTTTTGTTTCTCTGACTTAATGCTGATATATTTTTTCATAAAAGTTCTTTAAATTTCCATATTCTTTTATTACAACAAGACTTATTTTCCCTCACTCTTTAATATAGCATTACAAAACGACTTCTTTTAGTATTTACCAGTGTAAGAGAAGGTCATTTCACTGTGATTTCCTGGGGCGGGGAGAGGTGGGCTATTTTAGAGTCACACATGCAATGTTATCAAGTCAGTATGAAATATTCTGAGTCTTGGTAGTCTGAAGCAGCTCCTAGACACAAATTAACACACACACACACACACCAACATATCTTTTTTTTTTTTTTTGGTTTTTCGAGACAGGGTTTCTCTGTGGCTTTGGAGGCTGTCCTGGAACTCGCTTGGTAGTCCAGGCTGGTCTCGAACTCACAGAGATACGCCTGCCTCTGCCTCCCGAGTGCTGGGATTAAAGGCGTGTGCCACCAACACCCGGCGGCACCAACATATCTTTAATAATAATCATTGTTTTACTATATCCCATGTGGCTTCACTGTTTTACACATGAATATACCAGATGTTGTGGGTTTTTTTTTTAAAGATAGCTGAATGAGATCCTAAGGAGCCAATCAGTAGGCAGCATTCTTCCATGATTCCTGACTCTGCTCCTGCTTGGGTTTCTGCCCTGGAATCCCTCAATGATGGACTGAGATCTGGACATGTAAGCCAAATAAACTACTTGCTCCCAAAGTTGCTTTTCATCATGGTATTTATTACTGCAGTAGAAAACAAGTTAATGCATTTATCCTGTCTAGATTACTTGTCAATCATTATCATCGTTTCTTTTATATATGTATATAATGATTTATGTGAATTTATAAGGAAGTATAGCCTAATTCAATGGTTAGACTTACAAATTTCAGCTTTCTTATTTCTTTGGTTTATGTAGTATGAAAATAACATGTGTCAGTATAAATTATACTTCATATCTTGAGATTTTAATTGATACACTATTTGCATCTTGTCCCGGGCTTTTTCTTTTGGGCCACAAACCAGATCCCAAATTATGACTCAAAGACTTCTTATGAATTTCTTTCCTTCTGTATATCTTCTTTTCACTGCTTCTCATGTATGGTTGGCTGGTAACTGCCTGGCTTCTAGCCCTGAGCATGTCCCTTTTATCCCATCATTCTCTTCTCCTTCTCTCTTTTTCTTGAGCCTAGATTTCTCCCCCAATTTATTTTCTCTGCCCACAAACCCCACCTATCCCTTTTCCACCTAGCTATTGACTGTTTGGTTCTTTATTAAACCAATCAGGTGCCTTAGGCAGGCAAGGTGAAACAAAAGCAACACATCCCATCCTTACGTCATTAAACAAATGCAGCACCTTTACACAATTAAAATAATATTCCACAGCATGAACAAATGTAACATATTTTTGCTTAGTTAAAATAATATTCCATAACATTTCCACCTTCTATCTAAATAAAAGGAAGGGTTTTAATTTTGACGTAGTAAATCTATATACATAAATACTAGTTATCAAGTAAGGATTACATTTACAATATTCAGTCCATTTGTATTTGACAAATTCAAAGAAAATACTCCATTATTTATTCTATCTTGGTGAGTCCAAAGTTTTGTTCCTAATTTACCTTCTATCATAACTAATAAAAAACTGTAACTATAGCCGGGCGTTGGTGGCGCACGCCTTTAATCCCAGCACTTGGGAGGCAGAGGCAGGCGGATCTCTGTGAGTTCGAGGCCAGCCTGGTCTACAAGAGCTAGTTCCAGGACAGCCTCCAAAGCCACAGAGAAACCCTGTCTCGAAAAACCAAAAAAAAAAACTGTAACTATAACTATCTAGCCTTCAACTTCATCAAAGACCCCCCCCCCCCCGAAGGATATATTACCTGTGTAAACAGGAAGTGCAGTGCAAGCCACTTCCAGAACTATAGAAATGACAGACTTCTGATTGCCTGGACAGTCACCTAAGTTTCATTTGCAACATTGAGGCATCCATCTTTGGCCCACAGGCCTAGAATATCTGGCAGCCTCTTCAATGGAGCAGGGATTTTGAAGGACTGTCATGCCTTATCTTGGCAAAGTTCAACAGTCTTTTTCCTTTGTGTCCTGTTTGTCCAGTATGTACAGCATGCTGTCACCAGTCAAGGGAAGAGTAGTTTCCTGCCCAATTGTCTAGCTTTGTCACAATGAAAGCAAACTTTATATGGAGGTTTTCCAATGCCCATCATCTTTTTATGAAGTAAATTGATGCTACCAGGAGCTGATGTGTTTATTGTCACAAAATCCTTAGGCTGTTAAACGTCTTAAATGCCATAGTCTGTAGGTCTTTGATGTTTTTGAAGATCACCTATCTAAAATATATCTATGTATGACCTTGAAAACATACCTAACAGAACTACAAGTTTGATTATTATAGATGGCTAACTACTAGCTTACATTTCTTAATTATACATTAAATTTTAAAATAAACCCCATAAGCACAATACCCTATACAAGAATAGAAACATACATGCAGTATAACAAATAACTTTAAATTTGTCTCAATACACCAAAATCCATACCAATGTCAAATATTTAAGGCTAATAGTTGTGTAAACCAGGCTGACCCAGAACTCAACAGAGATTCGCCCATCTCTGCTCCACAAACTCAGAGATTAAAGTCATGTATTAGCATGACCAGCTTCACTCAAACTCTTTTTTTTTGTTTGTTTGCTTTCTTGCTTGTTTGTTTGTTTTTTCAAGACAGGGCTTCTCTGCCCTGGAGCTTGATTTGTAGACCAGGTTTGCCTAGAACTCAGAGACCCACCTGCCTCTGCCTCTTGCCCAACTCACTCAAACTCTTAAGGGTTCCAGGGAACCAATTATTTTCCTGTGTTCCTCAAAAGCAATTTTCTTCCTTCTCTTTTCTTCTTACACGCACCATCTTTTTTTAATGCTTGTGGGTGTTTCACTCATGTACGTGTTTGTGCACCACACACATGTCTGGCACCTAAGGTGACCAGTGCTCTTAATTTGTTGAGTGGAGGGAAAAAATTTTTTTGAAGGTGAAAGACTTCGTGGATTTTACTTTTCAATTGCATTTTATTTTTGCCAGAGTGATATATTCATGCAGTTTAAAAAGTCAAATATAAAGTGTATAACCAAATTTTGCAGCTTTCTGTCTAGTTTTCCATCCTCAGCAATTAGGCTCTGCTCCTCAGCCAGTCCTTCCTGACTGCTTCTTTTTGGCTTGTCTTATTTCAAAATCATGTACACAGGCTTCTGCTAAATGCCTACTCCTTTGTAAACGTTATCTAGTATATTTTGTTTTGTAAATTAGGGTTTATCTTTTGTGTATGTACTTGTGTCTCTTCTTCCTGTCTCTGCTGTCTCTTCTCAGCACTCACACAATTTTTAGGTAAATTAATATGAAGTGTTAACATTATGATGACATTCTAAATACTGTTTACAGCTTGGATAGATAACGTGCTGATTTTTGTTTCCCTGTGGAACAATATTCTGCTTTCCTTCGATTAGAAAGAGAGTCTTACTCTCGCCTGATAGCTCCCATCTTCTCAATAAGTCATCCCCAGTGAGAAACAATCAGGAGAGAATCCCAGTCTTCTACCATGTATTTACTAGTATCCTTTCCCAAATACAGCCACACCCATCACCACCACACCCATCACCACCACACCCACCCATCACTTCCACACCTATCATTGTCATACCCATCACTGCTTTTACCCATCAAATCCTGCAACTCGCATACCCTGTCATTGTCACTGTAGACAAGCTGTGTATTTGACTCTCCAAGGCAAGTTCCTCTTATTTTCCCTTTTCAAGGGCACAGCTTCAGTCATTCTTTGCTCACGCTCCCTAATGTCACTAGTCTCTACTCAACAAACAGCCTGTGTGGTCCTTTTATAAACTGTGAGTCAGATCATGTCATTCCTCTGCA